TGTAGAGTGGCTTCGTCGATTGAATCGGCAATGATATATACAGGTGTGTAATCTGCAAATAATCTGAAATAACGATTCTCTGGAAGGGGGAGTATTGTAGGGTTTATGCTTTATATTGCACTTGCTTCATTACTTTACTTTGTTAATTTTGATATTTTGGATATACCTAAGTTAGCTTTGTGAAATGTAAATCAAAAAGAAAATTTTTCTCATATACACACATACATATAATTATTTAGTAAAAAATAAAGGTAGAATGTCGAATCATTGGCAGCAAAGGCTTCCTTAGCTACTCGAGTTGACGCCTTTGGAGAGGAGGCGAGTTGTGAACTAGGAGCAACTCATAGGTGAAACTAGAGGCACGCCTGCGATCGCTGGAGGAAGGCAACCTACGCAGACTTTCTGGCACTGGAAAAGCAAACGCCATATTCAAAAAATATCAGGCTAAAAGGTAATATTTGAAAACCACATGTGTTTGTAAATCAATCTCTTTCCACAAAAATGATGTTTCGCATATTTCCGATCACATGAAGTGACAATAAAGCTTGGCTGTCTGATTGTGCAATAAAATAGTTTGCAAACATGAAACTTTATTTTTTTAAACAGTACTAACGGAAATTTTAAATTTATTGCAGCGAGGTATTTCTTTGGAACTCGAGGCTGATAGCACAATATCCGTTAAAAAGCGAGAACACTCAGAATCATCTCCAGCTGAAGTTCAGGATGAATCAGTGGTTGAAACTAGTGAAAATCAAGATGAAAGTACAGCTGGGGTAGGAAAGAAAAAGAAGAAGAATGAATCCGAGGCTGACAGCACAATATCCGTTAAAAAGCGAGAACACTCACAATCATCTCCAGCTGAATTTCAGGATGAAGCAGTGGTTAAAATAGTGAAAATCAAGATGAAAGTGCAGCTGGGGTAAAAAAAAGAAGAAGAAAAAGAAGAAGAATGAATCCGAGGCTGATAGCACAATATCCGTTAAAAAGCGAAAACATTTAGAATCATCTCGAGCTAAAGTTTTGCATATTTCCAATCACATGAAGTGACCATAAACCTTGGCTGTCTGAAGGTGCGATAAAATAGGTTGCAAACACGAAACTTAATTTTTTTAAACAGTACTAATGGAAATTTCAAACTTATTGCAGCGAGGTATTAACTTTTGAACTGAAGGCTGATAGCACAACATCCGTTAAAAAGCGAAAATATTCAAAATCATCTCGAGCTAAAGTTTTGCATATTTCCGATCACATGAAGTGACCATAAACCTTGGCTGTCTGATTTCCAAAATTTAGGCTGTCTTTTCAAATAAAATAATGTACGACCACATAACACTTGAAGATTTATTTAGCAATGAAGTACTATATAATCACCGCACTAAATTAATTAGAATAGTTATAAGAAAGCTTTTATCTTGATGTTTGGTTGTTTTTTGAGAGCAAAAAATCAACAAATCAGAAGGATTATATTAGAAATAAATTCACAAATTTAATACTGTTTCGCAACCAATAAGTGGCATAGCCAAGAATTAATTTATGGAATTTGTTAATCAGTTACATACTTCGCAAGGTTTAAAAAAAAAACATATATAAATCCGACTTGCAAACTTTGGACGATAATAATAAAAAAAAAAAATTATTAGAATTGCAAACGCTTTAATTAAAATTTCTAGAAAATATTTTGGTATGCAGATTATTTCTAGAAATTTTAGCCACAAAGTTTTCAATTCTAATAAAACTTTGTGGAATTTCTTAAATTTTTGCACAAAATTTGGAATAATGAGCTCAATTTTTATAAAAAAGAACATTAGCGAAAAAATTTTAAATGAATAACAAAGGGAATATTATATAAAGATTTATACAATTTTAACTGCCTAACCAGAATGCTCTAAACTGCACACAATATGTAGCTGTGGTTATGGTATAATATTTCTGATGTAGCTAGCGAAATAGCTGGTGGCTGTGGTACTACATTTCGTTTAGCCAGTAAGTGTGAGTCACTATACTTGTCTATTTTTTTTAACCTAAATAGTCAGTAAATTTGTACTCATTGAAGAATGGAAATATACATTTAATTGAATTATGCATTCTAAAATAATAAGTTGCTATTTATTTTACACTAATTTTAAATCCGTTTTTTTTATTTCCAGGTAGCTTTAAAATTTTAATACTTCATCATAAAGTTTCAGTTTGTATAAGTAAACATCGCCAACAAAGGGTCACACGCACCTCAGAGTAAAGCAATCCCTATCAAAGTTATTGTTAAACGCTACTGAGGATACGTCAAACTAGCTTGAATGTATTTGTTACATATATTCACTGATACATTCAGTCTAGTTTGACGTATCCTCACTAGCGTTTAAAAATAAACTTGATGGGGATGGCTTTACTCTGAGGTGCGTGTGCCCCTTTGTTGGCGATGTTTACTTATATAAACTGAAACTTTATGATGAAGTATGAAAATTTTAAAGCTACATGGAAATAAAAAAAACGGATTTGAAATTAGTTTAAAATGAATAGCAACTTATTATTTTAGAATGCATAATTCAAACAATTGTATATTTCCATTTTTCACTGAGTACAAATTTACTGACTATTTAGGTTAAAAAAAAAATAAACAAGTATAGTGACTCACACTTACTGGCTAAACGAAATGTAGTACCACAGCCACCAGCTATTTCGCTAGCTACATCAGAAATAATATACCATAACCACAGCTAAATATTGTGGGCTGTTTAGAGCATTCTAGTTAGGCAGTTAAAATTGTATAAATCTTTATATAATATTCCCTTTGTTATTCATTTAAAATTTTTTCGCTAATGTTTTTTTTTTATAAAAATTTAGCTCATTATTCCAAACTTTGTGCAAAAATTAAAGAAATTCCACAAAGTTTAATTAGAATTGCAAACTTTGTGGCTAAAATTTCTGGAAATAATCTGCATACCAAAATATTTTCTAGAAATTTTAATTAAAGCGTTTGCAATTCTAATAATTTTTTTTTATTATTATCGTCCAAAGTTTGGAAATCGGATTTATATAGTTTTTTTTTAAACCTTGCGAAGTATGTAACTGATTAACAAATTCCATACATTAATTCTTGTCTACGCCACTTATTGGTTGCGAAACAGTATTAAATTTGTGAATTTATTTCTAATATAATCCTTCTGATCTGTTGATTTTTTGCTCTCAAAAAACAACCAAACATCAAGATAAAGGCTTGCTTATAACTATTCTAATTAATTTAGTGCGGTGATTATATAGTACTTCATTGCTAAATAAAGCTTCAAGTGTTATGTGGTCGTACATTATTTTATTTGAAA